TAGTCATCTCCAATGACTATAATTTAGAAATGAAATTATCCCAGGGGCTCCTGGTGGCTCAGTCCATTGGGCATCTTTTTGATTTGGTTCAGATCATGATCTCCTGGGTCACAAGATGGAGCCCACATCCAGGCTCCGTGCTCTGCAGAGTCTGGTGGGATTCTCTCCCCCATCCCCTCTCCCAGCTTGTGCTTTCTCACACATGTACACACACTCTCTCTTTCTGTCTCTAATAAATAAATATATCTTAAAAAAAAAAGTTATCCTGATCATCGTGGTACTAGACACCACAAAGTAAATTCTGTGTTTTTAGCCATAAAATTTAGGAGCAAGGGTAAGCTTTTTCAGAGATAAACATTTATGGAGCAAAAGAGCCAAAATTCAGGGGAAGAAAATATAAAAAAAAAAGTTCAGGTAATATGGTTAAAAGCAAACTGGCATTTACTATCCTCTTTCATCTGCCAGAGCTGTGCTGAATAGTTCTGATAATAAAATTTCAAAAAAAATAAATAAATAAATGTTGAACCCAATAGCTGGGCTTGAATTGAAGTAGCAGAGGAATTTGAGTATATTTGATGATATGATAGGATTTTTTTTCTTCATTGAAGCTGGCTTAGAAGGCAGCTGGAATATTTTGAAAGTGGATCAGAAATACAGGTATGTTTTGATTTTTTTAGAATCTGCCAAATCCCATTCTACATTACCTTGTCTCCTCTTGTCCCAGGTCGACTTATTAATAACATTTACTTCCTTACCTTATGTGATGGATTAATTATAGCTACAAATTCTTTGTCACTATCCTTTCATGACTTACTTCCCCACCCCCACCCCATCCTGCTTCCCCAGTAGGAGGCAATGGAAATAACCCATGAAGCCTCTAGATTCCGTCTAGATTCAGTCTGCAGGAGCACTGGCAGCTTGTGCTTCCTCCTCCTTGAGAGGCTTCTTCTCAGACTGCAGCTACCATGCTGTGAGAAGCCCAAGCCACAGGGAGAGGCCATACTCTCTTACAGTCCCTGCTGAGCTCCCAGCTGACATCAGCTGCTGGTCACATGAGTGCCATCTTCAGTTTCCAGCCTACTTGTATCCCAGATGATTGCAGACCCAGCTGCCATCAGGTGGAGCAGAAGAACCACTCAGCTGAGCCCAGTCAGCCCACAGACTCATGAGACAGAATACAATGATTGTTGTTTTAAGCTATTTCAGGGCAATTTGTTTCACAAATGTACACAACTGAAAGAGCTTTCCAGAGAAGATGCTGGGACTGAAACTGGAAGAGCTCATTTAGTTTCCATTATAAATAGGTAACATGTAAATAGCCTATGCTTAATCCTTATAACTTGGATGTCACTAGGCAAAATTTTAGAAAACTCTTATTTGGAAACAAGGCACCTTTAAGTTTGTTTGCAAACTACATTAAGGTACTAAGCCTTTTTTCATTGCTACACTTTCTGGTTCACTTATTCTCCATTGAAGTGATAGGTAAGCAATAAATGATCAGATGCATTATTGTGATTAAAAATAAAAGCAGTCTTTTTCAGCAGAAACAGCATGAGTCAGACTTTTGTTCAAATCTTGGCCCTATCACTTAATAGCTTTGTGTCCATGGCTAAGTTACCTAAGCTGCTTGAGTCTGTTTCTTTATCTTGAAGATAATATGTACTGTACAGGATTGGCAAAGATAAGAAATAATATATTAACAACCTAGCGGAGCACCTGGCACAAAGGTGGAGCTCCATAATATAGCTTCGATGAACGAGGTGGCAGTGTGGTTTTAAAAAGATAGGAAAAACATGTCTCGTGTTTATTTTTTAAGGGGATATAGAAATATGGGTGTTCTTGGGCTTTACCAGGATGGAACCCGAAAGGTTAAAGTGGTATATCCTTGCAGTTCTTCCTCCAAATAGGCGCGTTTCATCCAAAGGAAATTCTGATCCTTCACCAATTCACACCACCCTTCCTCACTTCTGTATTGCTATAGGGGATTTGATTAAGGGATGAAGGCAACCTTCTGCTCCTCATCTCAAGTCTCAATGAAGAATTCTTTTTGTTTTTTTTTCCTCCTTTATCTTCTGTACTCCCTTTCCTCAATTACATTCACCTTCTGATGAATGGTGGGAAGTGACTTTACAGGACGCTGGCTTTCTGCAAGCTGATCTTAGCTTCAAGGTGCCATGGGGCTCTTGGAATACCTCTCCAGAAGGACACATACACATCCCATTGTCCCATGTGTGTAGCCCAGGGGAAAGAGCTGCTGTGGCAGTCTGCAAGATTTTTTTCTGCTGTTTTGTCCTAGCCTTTGTAGGATATGTTGTTTTCCTTTCTAAGCGCTGGGTGTCTTTAGGATGACAACTAGAGCAGAGCCCAATAATTTGTAGACTATGTTTGCTCTCAGTGATTAAGGTGAGGTGAGCAGTTGTTGGTACAAGCTGAAGACCACTTTTCTTAACTGTGAGTTACTGTTTTTGGTAACTTCTCTTACCTGCCTGACTTGGTCTGCCTGAACCCCATTTTGATTTTTGAAACTTAAATGATTGGCTGCACATGAAATGCCAATTTATTGAGTATAATGTTGGTTTGGGACAGAAGTAAGGAGTTAGGTACCATGTATTTAAACTGGGTGATCTGTTAAAGGGATTATAAAGTACTCTAATTTAGCATACACATTGACTTTGTCTATATTGATTTGAATATTTTTTAAGATGTTAATACCTCTCAGTCTGATTACTATAAATGCTTCTCTGATACGAAATTTCGTGTCCATTGTTAGAATCTTTAAGAAAACTCATTACTTTAAAAGCAGTTAACTAGTGGGGCTCTTGGGTGGCTCAGTCAGTTGAGGGTTTGACTCTTGGTTTCCACTCAGGTCATGATCTCAGGGTCATGAGATCCAGCCCCACATCAGACTCCCTGCTGAGTGCAGAGCCTACTTGTGAGTCTCTCTCTCTTCCCTATGCTCTCCCCCACCAAAAATAAATAAATTAATTAATTAATTAATTAATTAAGAAAAATAAAATAGTTAAAGCTAGAAAGTGGACACAGGATCTTATTTTAAAAGATAACCAATAACCAATTGGTTATTGTTATATAAGTGCAGGTTATGGAGAGGATAAGTCATTTTGCCCATAAGCTTGTCACAGTCATAACCACAATTAGGCACATTGGTTCTGGCTTTTGTAGCTGTTGTTACCACAAACACATTTTGAGATTTAATGTCCTTTAAGTCATTTATAATTATGGACCAATTTCATTTTGAAAGAAATTATAATATTCTTATTGCAAGCTGATTCTTATTGGAGCCCATTTAAAGCTAAAAAGTATTGCAGAGCAGTGGAGATTGTGCTATACAAAATATAATGTGCTTAAAGCAGAATTTCTCAGGACTTGAGCTCCAAATTTATTGCTTCTGGGACTCATGATGGTTGTGTAGTATAGATTTAGAGAGAGTTTTTAAGACTCCTATTGACATGGGTGAGCAGAATGGTTCCTCAGAAACCATTTGGGTGTGCAGTCACAGTAAAGCATGGATTAAAGGTTCAGATGCATATAGTATGCATTGACGTGCAAGAATGGGGGGGGCGGTTCAGGAAATCTTGTGCTCCCTATTAAAGACCACATTTCTTCCAGTCTTTTAATGGCTGCTGTTTTAAAAGGAGGGAAAAATCTGCATTGAAACTGTCTGTAAGGTAAAGCTACTGAAACCTAACCCAAAAGGCATACTCTTATGGAAAACTCTTCTTAATACTTGCAGTGTGGTTCTAGCTGAGGACATGTGGTATATATTACAGCGCCCAGGGAATTCAAACCTCCGCAGTGTGGAGTCACAATGAAGGCAAATTTCAAAATGAAGCGGTAGCCTTTTGCTCCCTTCATAGCGCTGTTTACCAGTGTTTCTTATTAGCTTGGCGTTAGTCTAGGACTGCTGTGGGTGAGAAGAGGAAATGGAAATTTAAATGGTACCAGAGTGGGGATACATGAACACCTCTCCCCTCCCAAAATGCCCCTTCTCCGTCAGAGGCTCCCCACTCCACCCTGGGTATTGCAAAGTCTTGCACAATCATCTTGAACAGGGCTGAAGGCAGAGCTGTCCATGGTTCGAAAAAAATGTCCTAACTGTTGGTTGAAAATCAGGTAATAACAGTCCTCTTGGTGAACAAAACTTATTAGAGGGCAGGGGAAGGAATGCTATCTCTCAGCGGCAGGCTAGAAGAAATTGCTGTTGAAAAGCTTACCTCTCTAGGGAGGAATCAGATATCAGACTTTGCCAAGCCTCAGGTCCAACCCAGAAGGTCCCACCTACATCCCCCGCCCCATCCCAGCTTTGTTAGATTGCTAGCATCGATCGCTGGCTTTTTCTGACCCAACAGTGGGTGAAGTAAAGAGAGCCGGCAGGACTGGAAGCGAGCGAGGTGGGGGTGGAATACTGGGGCCGCTTTTGTAGGAGAAAAAGAGAAAGGGAAGAAAAGGGGTGGGGGCCATGGGGACTGAGCTTAACTGGTGCCTGCCTGCTTCTCTTTGATTCGATGGCCTTTATTCCTTCTAATTGGATAAAATAGGAAGTCACTGGCAGTCCTGCGTTGCTGGGTATACTGATTTTACTCAGACCAGCCAGCAGCCCTGGAGTGCGGACAGAGGGAGGAGGGTGGAAAGAGAGAGAGAGGGGGAGAGAGAGAGAGAGAGAGAGAGAGAGGGAGAGAGAGAGGGAGAGAGAGAGAGAGAACACGTCTTTGGATGAGGAGGGGAAAGGAAGAGAAAGAGACTATGAAGCAGGGCAGAGCCGCAGAGGAAGAAAGTGAATGAGCGCTCAAGAAGGACAAAGAGGAGTGGTTGGGGGGTGGGGGTGGAGGCAGGGCGGGGAGGGGAGTCACCGCCCCTCCGGGGCCGCACTCTTCCCTTCGGATCCCTCTGTGATGATCCTGTTTGCAGTGATGCTCCGAGGGCAGGCACCTGCTGCTCTGTAATGATTCAGCCTCTTTCAGCCGTCGCGTTAACACAACAGGATGCTGTTGCTACTGTCACTGCTGCCTCTCCTGCCGCCGCCGCTGCTGCCGCCTCCGCCGCCGCCGCTGGTCCTGCTTTTGCTTTTACTTCTCCTGCATGACAGTTGTTTTCTCCACCTAAGCAGACACCAGCTTCAGATGCTCGAGGTGAGAAACATGCCTTTCAGTTTGGGCTATTGGTTTACTTAATTGACCAACAACCAGCTCGGTTTCTGTTTGGGCCCTCGGTCCTCGGTCCTCGGTCCTCTTGAGCAGCCGGGATGCTTTGGGGAAGCCTCTGAAAGAACTGCAAAAGTGGCCCAGAAACAGCAGCCACGAATTACAATACACTTTTATTCGGTAGTCGCTAGAGGCTTTTTCTCCTCCCTTCCTCCTGAACTCCTCTTGCTTTTGATAATGGCCTTGGACTTGGAAGACTTATCGATTTCCCCCTGTAAGATGCTGTATCATTTGGTTGGGGGGGGCTCTGCATGGTAATGGACCGTGAGAGAGGCCGGGCCTTCTGGAGGTGAGCCGATGGAGATTTATTCCCCAGACATGTCCGAGGGAGCTGCTGAGAGGTCCTCCAGCCCCTCCACTCAGCTGAGTGCAGACCCATCTCTTGACGGGCTTCCGGCAGCAGAAGACATGCCAGAGACCCAGACTGAAGATGGGAGAAGCCCCGGCCTCGTGGGCCTGGCGGTTCCCTGCTGTGTCTGCCTGGAAGCCGAGCGCCTGAGAGGTTGCCTCAACTCCGAGAAAATCTGCATTGTCCCCATCCTGGCTTGTCTAGTCAGCCTCTGCCTCTGCATTGCCGGCCTCAAGTGGGTATTCGTGGACAAGATATTTGAGTATGACTCTCCCACTCACCTTGACCCTGGGGGTTAGGCCAGGACCCGATTATTTCTCTGGATCCAACCGCCGCCTCAGCTGTGTGGGTCGCGTCTGAGGCGTACACTCCACCTGTCTCTAGGGCTCAATCTGAAACTGAGGTTCAAGTTACATTGCAAGTTGACAATGCTGTCGTGTCCTCTGAACCCTCCGCGGGACCAACCCCGAAGAATCGTATTTTTGCTTTTTCTTTCCTGCCATCCACTGCGCCATCCTTCCCCTTCCCCACACGGAACCCCGAGGTGAGAACACCCAAGTCAGCAACTCAGCCACAAACAACAGAAACTAATCTCCAAACTGCTCCTAAACTTTGTAAGTAGAGAGAGAGAGAGAGGTGCTGAATCCTGGAAGGGGGTGGGCTCGAGGCGCTAAGCGGTTCTCCAGCGCCTGGAGCCGGTTCCGCGTCGTCTTCTAGCTCCCCCTGCACGGTTCTGTTTCTGCACATCGTGGGGCTGGAGCGCTCGGGGTGGCCTGGAAGCCCTGGGGGAAATGATCTTGCAAACTGCGGGGAGGAGGTGGTGTTCCCCCCCACCCCCCGCCAGATCGGCCGTCACGGGCTGGGGAGAGGGGTACCCACAAGTTCAGCGTCTGCGAGTCATGCTCCAATGTAACTGCCCTTCCATTTCTTTCTAGCCCTTTTAGAAATGAAAGCATCAGAGCATCCTTTATTTTCATACATCAGCGTGACTCCCGTGCAACAGCGAGGGTGCTCTGGCGTCTCTCTCCCGGGCAGTGTAGACGTCGTCACCCGTCCTGTCCTCACCTTTCCGTTCCCCTCTGCCTCCCAGCTGTGCCGCTCCACCTGTTCTGTCTCCATCCGTCCCTTCTCCCTGTTCCCTGCGCTGCCCTCTGCTCTCGCTGCGGTTCTGCTTTAATTGGTTCTTCCTGATAGCGCGTTGCATTTACGGGGCTCACCCCTCGGCAGCGGCAGGCTCTTTGCTGTCCTGCCCAGACTGTAGTTTCGGCTACTGAGCATCCATCTATTAAGGGGCCTCTTTATTTTCCTCCGGACGCAGTACAGTTCTGCACGAAAGGATCTCCCCCAAATTAGTTTTGTCTTCTGTAATCAAATGTTTAAATAGCTTCCTTGGCAGGCATTAAAAAGTACAAGACCCATTAGTAAGGTGCATTGTGTTTTGTTTTGTTTTGTTTTGTTTTTCCCCCAGACGTGTCATTTTTGCCCGGCGGACCGCAGCCGCGCAGCTTAATAACCTGGGGGTGAGGCGAGCCCACGCTCTTAAAACAATACAGAACAATATGCGGCCGATCCGACTGGGTCGCTGCAGCGCTTGTACAATGGAAAGTTGACGGGGATGAAACCATGACTAGTCAGATTGCTCCAAACGTCAGGAGAGAGGGAGGAGTTTCCTCCAGCTTCTCTTCTCTAAATGTTTCTGATTTATTTTCGCTTCTCTGTCTTCTACTCTTTCCCATTGCTGAGTATGTCCTTAGCAGGAAAAAAGCAAAAGATGAAAGGATTCGGTTCTTAATAACGTGTGTAAAATCTCTTAGAGTTGAGGCTCAGGGTCCTGTGATGAAATACTCACCCCTTCTGTTTCCCTCTGGATGGCGAGGAAGAATAAAGAATGTCTTTTCCAGACATTATGTTCATGTTCCGAACGAAGTAGAGCCGGGTGGTAAAGCAGCCCACAAAACTCGATTTGTGCTTGTGGTTCAAGATCGTTTCATGCACAGCAGTTTCAGCGGCAGAGATTTAAGAGAGGGAGAGAGAGAGAGGCTTGTTTTTCAGGTGTAATTAGTAAAGAACCTCCTTTCTGCAGACACTGCTTTGTATCTTTATCAAATCCCTGAAGCATCATTAAAGGTCTGACAGACATCGCTGCATTCGCCGCCTCTTCCCACCTGGCAAAGTGACCGGGAAATAATACCCAGATGAAATGACAGGCTATAAAAAGCAAGTACAGATCCTGCAAAGAGAAGCAAAATTCACCGTGGAGACAAGGTTACTTCTTTGGCTTTATTGTTTGAAACTTGTCTTTAATTACATTGTGCCCGAATAAGTTCAGTTGCCCAGAAAAAGAAAGAGAACACTGAAAAAAAACTTGTCAAGACTATAATTTTGTCATCTTGGGGCTTGGGGCGGGGAAGTAAAGAACTGTCCAGTACCTTTTCCTGATCTAGGACCATGTCAAATAGTAAGTTGTAACTTTTTGAGAAGACATTTTTTTTTAAGGTAAAGTCTTCTATTAAGTGTTTTAATAGGGTATGCATTCCTTATAGTTTCTCTTGTTCTCTGTATTTTCGAGCCTGGGCATTGATTTTCTGGCATTTGCATTGAGTGGAAAAGATTTACTGCCGCCTAAAAGCATCACGGTGTGGCCAGTTCTGGCCAAAGACACAGCTGCAGCATTTTGAAGCGCATTGGAGATAAGCCTTAAGCAGTATGGGAAGTACTTTTCTCCCTTAAGTTAAGGGTAGACAGTGCTTAACACTTTACAGCCTATGGGTTTTCTTTGTGGGAAACCCTGTGTTAATTTTCTGGCCTCAGAAAACAACAAAGACACTAATATCCTAAAAATTCTGAGTCTAATTTTTGGGGGGAGGGGGTGATTAGTCCAGGGAGCTTTTTTTCCAAATATTTATGTTAAGTGGTCGCTTTGTTGTTTAAAAAGCTCATGACCATCAACTAAAGCAAAAAAAAAAAAAAAAAAAAAAAAAAACTTGGAATCAGGCTGTCATTCTGTAACCTTGTTCACTTTTTTTCCCTTCAACTAAGAAAGTACTGCTTAGTGACAGGAAGAACCAGAGCTTTCCTTTCATCATGCGTGTTTTTGACATGAACTAAGCAGGCTCTGATGGTATACATCTTAAAACGACATGATCGTATTTGAACCATGCTCTTCAGTGGTTTCAGGACATTATTCTCCATTTCCTATCTGTCTGAGCATATTCAGCATTTTATGCACAGAGCTGTAGCCTTCAAGGTCATAGTCTGTGGAGGGCTAATTGATTCTTCTTTATCCTGGAGCCTGAGAGAGTGGAAGAGAGACAATCTTAGTAATTGTGTCTGCTCTGTTATTCCCCAACCAATCTACCTTCTAGTGTTTGCCTTTTATTCTATAAACACTAGAATTACTCCCCTTCCCACCGACTCTTTTAAAATTAAAACATTCTCTGTCTTTGTTGTAATAAAAGGCAATATATAACATTTTAAATTGTCTATAGGAATAGTGGTTACGTCAGGTTTTCTAAAATGGGCATTTTTTTAATAAGGTAATATAATTTCATGTTTTCACCAGATTAATCTATGGATACATCTAGATCTCAAGAAATCTAATGCAGAATTAGAGACTATATATACTTTTTTTTTAATGTGAAGCTTTTCTGTGTATGGTTAGTGGTTTCCCACTACCACATCTTTATTTGCCATGGTAATAGTTAAGTTTTTATGGGCACATAATACTTGAAGCATTAATTTGTTTTCTTTGCCTGGGCTTTAAAATTTTTCTTAACCTCTGTTTATCTGGAGAGGACAGACTTCGAGACATTGCAAACCTAGATTACTAAAAAAAGAGCTGATTAATTAAATTGTAGCAGGGAACCATAGTGCCATCTTGGAAGACACCGTATTTCTGGATGGGAGAGCCTGCTTGACAACCGACTCTGTAGTATAAGAATGTATTAGTATTTTCATCTTAGGCCAAATTTGTTTTTGCTTTGTCTTAAAATCTCTTTGCATGTTGCATGGCAAACCATTGTTACCACAGTGACATATGAATCACTGCCATTTGCAAAAGCTCAACATGATTAATTGAATAGACCAAAGGATTTCTTCCTTTCACTTTAAAAGTGGCATTTGTTTTAAGCCCAAGAGATTCTTCGAGTTCCTTGCAACTGTTCTTGTAGGTATTTCAGAATAGTCGTTTCAAATAACTTTTCTCCACTTTAACTGAACTTGCTTAAAGCTCAAGATCTTAAAAACTGGGAGAAAGTGAAAGATCCTCAACTGAAACCAAATAATTTTCTAAATTTACAGGTGAGGAAGAAATCCAGGCTCTGAAAGATGAAAGAGAAAGTGACATTCTCTTATTAAAACCCACAAAATTCTGAAAGGTGTAGTGAAATCCAAAAAATAGTAGAGAAGAGAAGAGTGTCCTGTCCCCCAGAATTTAAGCAAACAACACGTGGCTCTTTTCTCTTGTCATCTTTTCCCTGGTCCAGAGCATAGAGCTGGAGAGTGGCATCCACCTGACAGGGATAGATGTCAAGTGGTACACTGACCACACATGTATAGTATACTATTAAAATTCCATTTCCTTCCCGCCTTATGTGAAATTTTGCTTTTATGAAATTTTCAG